ATAGGTGTCAAACCAGGTTCTGTTAGGACACATATGAAAGGAACAACCAGAGTCTAGTATCCACTGATCTTCCGAATGTTGGTGGTGATCAGCAACTGAGAGTACTAGCTCATTTTCTGATGTGGATCCTTCCTTGACAACAACAGCAGAGGGTTTGGCCTTTTTCTTAGGACAATCTTTCTTCCAATGACCTGGCTCCTTACAATAGTTACAAATGTCCTTTGGATTGACATTTGTCTTCTTCTTACTTTTGTCCTTCTTTTTCTTATTGTTCTTGCCAAAATTTGAGGCCACAAGACCAGAACCATTTGATTCTTCAGAATTTCCAGATGCTCTAAATCGAAGTTCCCTTGAATGTAAACTGGATTTCACCTCCTCCATGGTGATACAGTCCTTACCAACACTAAGAGAATTCACAAAACTCTCATATGATGGTGGTAGAGATGCTAACAGAATCATGGAAGCATCTTCATCCTCTATCTTAACATCTATATCCCTTAATTCCATCAAAATAGAATTCAATTCATCAAGGTGCTCCTTTAAAGATGTACCTTCTTTCATGTGGAGACCAAATAGATACCGTTTCAAAAGGAGTTTGTTGCAGATTGATTTGGTTATGTATAGCTTCTCCAACTTAAGCAACAAGCCACTTGCAGTTTCTTCATCAGTAACCTCATAGAGAACTTCATCAGACAGAGAAAGCAAGATTAGTGAGTGAGCTTTTTTTTTCTTGTTCAGCAAGATCTTCAATCTTTGAAGCGAGAGCCTTTTCTTTTGATTCAAAAACTACTTCTTTCTTCACAGATGCTGAGGCAACCGGAGCCCAGACACGTTGTTCTTTCAACAAAGCACGCATCTTGATCCGCCACATATTGAAGTTGTTATTTCCATTGAATTTCTCGATCTTCATTGTGTTTGACATGATTTCTTGAGTGTTCTTGATCACAGTTTTGCAATGGAAGATTCCAGGAATAGGACTGACAAAATTTGATCTCTGTATTCAGACGAGAATCTTAAATTCCCTTGATCGCAACGAGTGCTCTAGATACCAGTTTGTTATGAATTTCCAGAAGAAAAAAATAAAAACAGGATGATAGAGAAAGAGAGAAAAACAACGCGGTAGTTTATGTGGTTCACCCTTAGAATTGAGTTACATCCATGGGAGGAGTAGAGACATATTTTATTACTTAATGAAGAATATGAAACAGTGTATGTGGAGACCAAATAGACGCCTTTTCAAGAGTTTGTTGCAGCTTGATTTGGTCATGTATAGCTTCGCCAACTTGAGCCACAAGCCACTTGCAGTTTCTTCATCAACAACCTCATAGAGAACTTCATCAGACAGAGAAAGCAAGATTAGTGAGTGAGCTTTTTCTTCTTGTTCAGCAAGATCTTCAATCTTTGAAGCATGAGCCTTTTCTTTTGATTCAGAAACTACTTCTTTCTTCACAGATGTTGAGGCAAGTAGAGCTCAGACACGTTGTTCTTTCAACAAAGCACGCATCTTGATTTGCCACAGATTGAAGTTGTTCTTTCCATTGAATTCTTGATCTTCATTGTGTTTGACATGGTTTCTTGAGTGTTCTTGATCACAGTTTTGCAACAGAAGATTCCAGGAACAGGATTAACAGAATTTGATTTCTGTATTCAGACGAGAATCTTAAATTCCCTTGATCGCAACGAGTGCTCTAGATACCAATTTGTTATGAATTTCCAGAAGAAAAAAACAAGAACAGAACAATAGAGAAAGAGAGAAAAATAACACAGCAGTTTACGTAGTTCACCCATAGAATTGAGCTACATCCACAAGAGGAGTAGAAACAGATTTTATTATTTAACAAAGAATATGAAACAATGTATGTAGAATGAAAGCTTCGTGACCTTTATATACGTATAGATAAGAAAAAGCACATGATGACAACAAATAAAAAATAGCTGTAACTGAAAAATGGTATATACGAAAAATAACCGTAACTGAATCATTACTTCGTGTGTGGATCTAAGACAAGTCCCATCAGCACCATATGTTTAATCTATTATTTTTGGTTGTGGGAATTCCTATAAGGCCTCTCCTTGATAAGACCATCAGTTGCATGCAATAGAATTGAATGATTTTGATTTCTTATGGAGGTAAGCCACTTGAAACAACAAAAACCTCTTGCAGCAAGATAGCCAATTCAGGCTCCATATCTGTGGGAAGATCCAACCATACATCGATATTGCATGAATATGGTGCATTCTCCTAAGGTGATTTGATTAGGCAGGCTAGGTAGAGTAGGTCTCTCAATATGCAAGATAATAAACTTATTACTCAAGTAAAATTTAAAGTTAAAGTGTTAAAATATGTGACATGAAGACCTAAGGTTGCCAACCATGCAGCGCCAAGTACCAAATCAACTCCAGACACATGTAATAGATACATAGGAAGCTTCAATTGCTAGCCTTGGATCTTAACTACCACTTCTCGAATCATTCCTTCAACTGCAAGAGAATTTCCATAACCCACTTGCACTTAGAAATTAGGAATCAGTTCAATCGGTAATTCAAGACAATGGATAATCCTTAGTTGTAGAAAGTTATCTAAACTTCCACGGTCTAACAAGATTTACTCCTAAACATCTAACAAGATTTGCTCCTAAACACCATTAATTAGCATGGTGCCTTAAAATTTTATGGTACAAAAAAATATGGATAAGAACCAAAAATAATAATTAAATAAGTTCACATAAATTCAACAAAACAAACCAAAAAAAAAAAAATTCTAACCAAATAACTTTCGATTAATCTTGTACAATGAAGATGAGCTCCCCCAACTTTTAATTTCTTTAAAAAAAATTTAAAAAAATAAAAAATCATATATAACATAAAAAAAATAATTAAATAAGTGCACATAAATTCAATAAAACAAACAGACAAAATACTCTAACCCAATAAATTTCGATTAAATTTAATATAGTGAAGGTAAGTTCTCTAACTTTTTTTTTCCTTGTGGAAGACATATATTTTTTTTTGAAGTGACACTTTAGGGATGCAGGTAAAAGTGACAGTCTTTTGTTGAAAAATTAATAATTAAAATTTATATAAATATTTATTTTATTACACATGTGCATGTATACATATAATTTGAGTTTTAATTGTCAATTTTTCGATTAATGACTATAATTTTTTTATATTAAAAGAGTCAAATTATAAAATAAAATCTCTTTTTAGTAAAATAAAATATTATTTACTTTTAATAAACTATTATTTTTATTTATAAAATAATAATAATTTTTTATTTTTTAAATATCGTTATTGAATAAGATTATTTAGAGGCTTAATGTAAAGGCTTTGTTGACCTTAGTGTTATTGTTGGTCAGCCCTGCTTTAAAGTATTATAATAATATTAATTTTTCATCTTTTTTATTGTAAACAGTAAATTATTAATTAATTATAATCAAGAAAATACTTTCTACTTTGTCTTGTAATTAGGAGAAGGGTGTAATATAAAAATCTCTTCTTCATACAATTCTTAATATTGTTACTCCCCACATCTTCATCATCATTTTAATGTGTATCAGCATTGTAAACTTGTTTGCCAAAAAGATTTGCAGTCTGTGTGACATAATTTTATTTTATTTTTTGCTAGTATGGTGTGACATAATTAGTTGCTCAGAGTCAAATACCATGTTGATCATAAAGAGTTTATGAATAGCCATTAGGGTAGACATAGATTGAGTTTATTGAGAAATGTTTTCTACATTCATGCTCTAGTAGAAGAACTTTTGTTGGTTGAGGAGTAACCTTGATACTATAAATCAAACATATCTTGAATCTTGATTGTAGAGAAGATTGGCTTGCATATACATTATATGGAGAATGGTCAAATCTTTTATTCCTTCAATTCTTTCTTCCTTAGTTATCAATAATGCTTCAATCTCTGCAGCAGTGCAGGAATCGAATCTTGATATGATAGAGGTTACTGTTGGAACATATTCATCACATAAGTCATAATGACTTGGATATACTCAGTATCATTAATTGGTAATCAGTGTATCCGATATTTTCTTGATGGCAGCGAGTAATAATTGATTTTTTTTCCAATTTTTTTTTTATATTCTTGAGTTATTATCAAATTTGACTTACTTCTGCCCTTGTATAGTAGTCCCAAATAGACTTCAAGTTTCTTCCAAATTTAATAAGTGCTCACACCCTACCATTCTGGTGTGGAGATTGGGTGACAGTAATGTTAAGAGCTATGTCAAGATTTATTGGTCTAGCTACTCCCCAAAGGTGGATTCATCGTTGATTCTTTCAGCTGCCTTATCTTCTTTAGTGAGGTATTTTCTTTGGAGTTTAAACCCTTTATTGCTCCTAGTGCTTGTTTCTTTCATGTAAGGAAGTTGTCATCTAACATGATAGAGACTGAAGAATTGAGAGCATTTGAGGGATGGGTTGTCAAGCCATTATAAAACTCCAAGCCATCAGGATTGAACTCTGATACCATATATAAAGGTATTGAAGAGTGTATTGAGAAACATATATATACATATATATATATATATCATAATTGTACGAAGAGCAAGAGAATTTTATTGCTTGATTATTAAGAGAGGTATATTGCTGACTATATAATAGACAATAGACTAATGACTGAAACACTAATAGAAAAATCTTCCAACAATTAACTGCAAGTGATCATAATTGATTGTCCTCGTAACTGTCTAACTACACTTTACACCAGATAGTACCATACCACTGTTTTTGTAACCGCGTTGAAGAGAAATGTAAAATTATAGTCTTATTATTTAAACCACTAAAAATTAAAATTATACGTGATTTCATATACTTTTGTTTCTATCTTCTACCTACTTTTCTTATCATCTTAAAAATACTTTCCACTTACAGAGGAGACACCTTTAGATATCTCGTTTGGTGGTTGAAAAAACATTTCCGAAATTATAATATTGCAGCCATAATTGGGATTGCCTTAAGACTCCTTTCTCTTTTTACTTTTCTATTCAATCACCACGCCTTGTTGCTAAAGGAGCAACTTGAGCAAGAGGAATTGGGAGTGGTGAATTTCGACCCATGGGGCATGAAAGGTTTACGTGCACCCACTTATTAATGCAATCTATGTGAAACAAGTGACCACAATGAGGTAAAAGCTTCAACCACTCGGAGTCCTTGTAATCTGCCAAACATTTTGAGCAACATGATGATAATGTTATTGATGCTGGATCATCTGGCTTATGCAAGTTGGCTTGGGAGTACAATAGCACCGGATAACTGTTCACAGTAGCTTCTTCCACACCAACTTAGATGGTTAGGGCAGAACCTGGCTCCATGCTGCTGTTGCCTGTGCCAATTCCATTCCCATTTTGCAAAGCACGGCTACAATAATATAAAGTGAAACCTATGAGAGTGATCACTCCCAGAAACCCAATATATAATCCAATAGAAGAATATGCATATGATCCATCCAAATCTTGTGAAACGCCACTGTTGTTAGAATTGTAATTAGTTCTATTCATGATTCTTGTAGTTGTAGGAAAAGTTTGACGTATTAAATTATATATATTGACGTTGCTAGGTAGCATATAGATAGCAAGAAGCTGAGTTTGTGCTCCATAAGATATTATTGATTAATAGATCACCAAAATGAAGGGAGAGTTAGTTTTTTTATTATTATTTTTTGGATTGGAAGGGGAGGGTATATTGGGTGAATGATTCATTGGAACGGGCCAAAGTTGATTCATATGTTGACAAAATGGAAATGAAAGGGGGTATTTGGGGAGTTGGTATGTGGTGATGGCATGGTAGAACATGTAGTATATATAGCTCATATGGGTTTGCTGTTCGGTTGGTCAACTTGCCATGCTTCGGGCAATGATAGGTGCTTGGCATGCTAGCTGTGGTTCTTCCCAGACGAGTTCCTATATATGTCTACATATAGATACTAAAAAGTTAAAAATAAAAAATATATTAAAAATGAGAATATTTATTATCTAAAAATTATAAAAAATATTCAACACATACTTTTTTTATGATAATTTAAAGAAAGTAAAGGACATATTGAATGGTTTTTACAAAGTTATTTTTGACACATTAAAAATTAAAATTTTTTTTATTAATAAAAAAGTATGATTAGTCTTTAAACTTGATTTTAAGTAATAAAAAATTATTATTATTATTAATAAAAACATTTATTATATCAAAAATATAAAATTCAAATTAATGCTAATAAAATTAATTTTAAAAAGTTAAAAATAAAGTATGAAGAAGTATATTACTGTTAATCCTCTTCTTTCGTACATGGTTAAGATGGATAATTAACACACGCTTTTCATTATTCTCATTGCATTTGAAACTGCACCAAAACTATTGAGTTTTACCACTACAAATACTGCGAAAGTTGCATAATTCGAACATATAACACGTGCTTCATTATTTGTTGCAAAATTGACTTATCACCAGTCTATTGATCTGTCAGCGTCGTACGAAAATTTGGGGCAAAGGTTTCCCCAGATGAAGCTATGTGTTTGAAGATTTTTTGGGTATGGCTTTTCCTAATTGTAGGTTTATCTGTGATCATTTTAATTTGGTAATTGCTTAATAGTTTTATATAAGAAATTATTTTTATAAATTATGCTATAATGCATTAAAATTTACGAAGAAAAATATATTAATAATTTTGTTATTTTTAAATCTCTATTTAATATCTAAAGATATCGATCAATTAATATTTACTTATATATACTTCAAAAATTTCAAGGTCAAATATGCTTACTTTCTTCATAATTTTCATGAATGTCATCCAAATAAATATTTATTTTAATTTAATTTCAATTTACCTGTACACCATACGTACGATTGAATCATGGGTTGGCATGATTTCAATAGTCTTTGCCTTATCCAGAACTGGTTATTGTCTATAAGTATATAAATTTATCTAACATATAAAGCATGTCATGTAAAACCGAAAAAATGTCAGGTTCTTAAGTAATTTGTTCCGCTAAAGATGGCATTTCTGCTATTAACGGGCAAAATGTGGAGAATAATTAGCATACTAATTATGTTTTTTCTTTTTATCCATGCCTCTCTATGTTAGAATAAAGTTTCACATGAGATGAGACATGAGCAGGTTTGATAAGCTCTGACCAAAAGAGCAATAGTAGCACCCATGGTCGATGTGAGAGTGTCTCGTAAAAAAAACTGCAACACAAAATAAGTCTTAACAAAGTGTTGGTGGTACTTACTTATGAAAAGTGAACCCAAGAGCAACTCTAGTGCAGACTATGTGAAATAGATAAATTTACATTTGAGAGCTTTGAATCAAGTGTAAATAAAATCTCACATAAGATGAGTCATAAACAAGTTAAAAGGTTTATAAATTATGTATATAATCGTATTCACAAAATACACTAAATTAATTTTTAAAATATAAATATCTATTAAGTTAATCTTTAATATCGTTAAGTGTAGAGTTTATTATTATAATTTTAAGAATTAAAATTGTTTTGAATCATACTCAGAAGACTCAAAAACTCATAATCAATCTTCTTACCTACTTCTTATTGCGTCCAATGCTCCATCCAAGACTTATTAAGATATAATCAGATGCACACTCAGTGTTCCATATACAAACTTTTTATCCGACGAATCTAAACTCTTTTACAGTTATGTGATGCTAAATTGCATCACGCGAAATTCCTACAAGACAATGATTGTACTTCATTCAAATTCTGATCATATATAACCAGCCAACACTGTTGTTTAAGATATAAAAGCCTTTTTCTATGGTTAATCTGTTGATTCAAATATATAAATGTTAAAGAACTTTTTTACGAGAACATAAACTTTCATCGCTAAACTCTCGCACGTTAATCTTATAATAAATTAAGCGATTAACAATAATAATAATTTATTAAAAAGATAAGTATTTATTATACTTTTATAATTTTAATATAATAAATATATTTATTTATAGATGTTTAAACTCAACTCTTACTATTAACAAAATCCTATAATAAGTTCTCTTGATTGTACATTGAATTCTCATTATTTTGAGTCTATCAGAAAGATGTTAGATAAAAATAATTATTGTTTAATAAAGTAATAAAAAACTAAATAATATTATTTAATAATTTAAAAAATTAATTTGATGTATATAAATATTATGCCTCACTCAATTATCGATACAATATTATTCAATTGTCGAGATGGTTGCTCACACTAACGGAGATAGAAGTTAAAATTATTTCTCAACAAATATAAAAAATATATAAATAATTTTTAAGACTAAATTTTCATCATTATCATCCCTACACTGAGACTCTATCTCTCAACCTTCGCTAAATGCCCATATTCTTGAATTAATAAATATTTCATATTAAAATTTAAGTGTGTTTAATTTATACTTAAAAAATCTAAAAAATTAATTTCAACGTAAAAACTTAAACTAAGAATATTAAAATAAATATAAATCCTTCAATATTTAAAAGCCAATCCATACATTCCGCCAATGAACGGAACATCAAGTTATAATTTTCATATTTTTAAAACAAACTTACTATTTTATTTTATTTTATTTTATTTCTTTTGATTTCAATTTTTTTCCTTAAACCACCAAATACCAATCAATTCCATCTCAGTTCCCACTACTAACTGCACACCATCCTCCCACCTTATCTCCCTTTCACTCGTGAAAAAAGAGAGGCTATTATACTCCTTTTTACTTTCAATAAATAGACGTAAATTAGATAAAATAAAGCATAAATAAAAAAATAAGATATATAATAACAAATAAAGAAAATGATGTAAAATATATGAGTATATGTTTAAAAAACAATATTAAAAAAAGCACTTGTTCTTGTGGTGGCCCACCCACTGTTTTCTTGCATCACACTTCTCTCTTCAGAAAAAGCAAAACGTAAGAGAACAGAACCTCACGCTTTCATAAAGAGCTTTCTTCTTTTCATTCCTCTCTCTCCTTCTCTCTCTCTCTATTTGTCTCCCTAATTCCAATACCTCCATTTTTTGTGACTTTGTTTCTTTGCATTCTAATCTGCCCCTTCTCATCAATTATTTTATGCACACACCCATCATTTTTATCCACTTGCACAAGAATAATTGTGGTCCTGCTTTATATATACATGATAACAATAGTGAAACTATATCATATCTTTGAAAACCACCACTCCTCCCTATAAATTATCTCCAAAAGAATCCACAAAGCCAGCATAGTAGAGTGAAAGATTTAGTTGGTCCTAACAATTGATTCATTTGACTTTTACATCATACAAAATTACATTTAGGCTTTAATAGTGCTAATTTGCTACATTGAAAGTTACAACATAAGTATCAGCTTGAAAATTATATTGGGTTTGTATTCCAACGCTGACATCCGTCTTGTAACAGCAACAATTCCTGCTTTGGGATAATGTATCCCAATCGAAGTTAATGTTTGTAGTCAAATTAACTTACGGTTATAAAGTAAAAGACTAAATTATAATTCCTGTGTTTGATCTTTTTTATTATTTACAAATTAATTTATGTATTTAAAAAATTATATTTTTATTTTACAAGAATACTTTATTACATTTTAATCAATAAAATAAAAATATTTAAATTATGATACAATAAAACTATGCATAAAAAAAAGTTAATTTACATACGTAACCTTAAAATAATATAAGATAGAATAAAATGAAGGGAAGGTTTCTATTTAAAAATTAAATTAATGAGTATTATAAATTTGTAGAAATGAAATTGATATTTTAGAGTCCCCGAAGATAATGCGAAATTAAAAGGAAAAAGAAGAAAAAGCTCACATATTCGGGCTTTCTTCTTCTGTGCTCACTTTCGTCCACCAAAAACGTCTTTTCTTGTTCAAAACCAAAACGCACACTCACTCCATAATCGCCAATGTTATCATCGACAAAATTGTCCTTATCTTCAACAATACCCATTCCCTTAACTATTCCCAATTCACCATATTCATTCCTCTAATCCCACCCCTTCTCATCGATCCCATCTAAGAAGCAAAACAACAAAAACAAGAACATGAAAGACTCACTTCATTTCCATCATCTTCCTTAAAAATATCACATAAAACTCCTATCACACTGTACTAAACCAACAAAACCAAAACCACCTCAAATCTAACCCTCTTCCTTAAAACTTTCCAATTCCACTGTCTAAAACCAACAAAACCAAAAACATCTTCCAATGTTGTCGTCACCAATGCTTGTCTCCTTCGCTCTCATCCTATCTCTCCCTCTTGTCCTCTACCTCTCCCCACAAATCCTTCCCACAACCTACTTCCCCTTCTCCCCCGACGCCGACGACCTCTCCCTCTTCCGCCGCGCCACCGCCGCACCCTCCTCCTCCTCCTCCGCCGCCCACACAACCTCCCACTTAGCCACCACCACAAACCCCAAACCAAAAATCGCCTTCCTCTTCCTCACCAACTCCAACCTCTCCTTCGCCCCTCTCTGGGAAAAATTCTTCGCCGGAAACCATCACCTCTTCAACATCTACGTCCATGCCGACCCCTCCGCCGCCGTCACCTCCCCCGGCGGCGTCTTCCACCGCCGCTTCATCTCCTCAAAGAAAACCCACCGCGCCTCCCCAACGCTCATAGCCGCAGCACGCCGCCTACTGGCCACAGCCCTCTTGGACGACCCTCTCAACCAGTATTTTGCTGTCGTCTCCCAACATTGCATTCCGCTTTCGTCGTTTCGATTCGCTTATAACTACCTCTTTAAGAACCCGCTGATCTCGCTGGCGAGTTTTGCGGGTTCTGAATACAATTTTTCCTACCGCAGCTTCATCGAGATTCTCTCCGACGAGCCGAATCTCTTTGAAAGATATTCGGCTCGTGGAGCCAACACGATGCTGCCGGAGGTGCCGTTCGATGCCTTCCGGGTCGGGTCTCAATTCTTCATCCTGACCCGGCGGCATGCAAAGCTTGTGGTCCGGGATCAGAGACTGTGGAAGAAGTTCAAGCTTCCTTGCATCACTGAGGAGCCGTGTTACCCGGAAGAGCACTACTTTCCGACGCTTCTGTCGATGGAGGATCCGAACGGGTGCACCGGATTCACACTAACGAGAGTGAATTGGACTGGTTGCTGGGACGGGCACCCTCACTTGTATAACCCGCCGGAGGTGTCACCGGAGCTCATTCGACAGCTGAGAGAGTCGAATTCGACCTACTCTTATCTCTTCGCGAGGAAATTCTCGCCGGAATGTCTTGCGCCGCTGATGGAGATTGCTAATGACGTCATTTTCCGGGAGTGAAGTCAGCTCGGTGAGTAAAGTCTACCGCACTCTACTGTGCGACAACTTTTTCTTTTTCAAAGAAATATCATATTTATTTTTGTTGTGTGTGCATTATTTCTTACCTCTATTGTCACCCTAACTTTAATGTTTTTGGTTTCTATTGTTCATATTATCTTTCACAATTTTGTCAAAAGGAAAAATTAAATTTCACAATTGACTGGGAGTCATTTCAACTTTAATATAAAGCATAAAGCAAATAGGAACCGTCGAATTAATTTGTCCTACAAGAAAATACAAGCCTACCTTCATAAAAGAAATGGATCAAATAAGTTTTTGAAGCTTAAGAATTACTCAGTAATGATACATTAACTAGTGTGACCAACCTGCTCTACTGTGTTGGAGCCTTAGTTTTATTAAGCCTTCGTGATTGGGTACTGTTAGGCAATTACTTTGGAGTGACTGAGAATGTTACTCGTTTTAGCTAAGATAAACTGATCAAGTGCTCTGTCATTGTGGGGTTACTGGAATTTAAGAGTGATGTGTAACATTATACTGTACTTTTGTGCTTGTAGAATTGTGTGAATATTAATATTAATTGAATTGATAACAAAAGTATAAGTTGTTAGGTATACTTATTGGTGCAAGTCAAAAGTGGAGTATGTCAGACACCTATGCAAGCTCGTGCTTTACACACCTAGTCTCACGCCTCTGTGAGATTGATCCACCCGTAATTAATTATATTTAAGAGTAGTTGGTTGTTTTGATGCCAACTGTTGTTCATTCTCTATTTTTGCTTTTCGTGTTCTTTGCAAGTAATAGATTAGGGAAATCTTATTCAATTTTTCATGGTTAATTGTTGGATTGAGGCTAAAGAAAAGTTTGGATTTGTTAATCAGTACATTAGTTAAGGATTTAATATATTAAAAAAGTTATTAAAAATCATGTTAGAGTGCATTAAAAACTACCATAAAAATGTGTCGATAACACTTTTTTAATACAAGCTTTTTATTTTTTTTATTCTTTAGTAAGTACCTGTTAGCATTTCTCAAAAAGTATTTTTAATATGATTGAGATTGAAGTTTAGTAATGGGGTAGGTATGAGCACTTGTTTTGTTGCCTAGTCATGATCGTTACAGAGGAGGCTTGGTTCAGTAATCCAGAGAGAAAAAGACACTAAAAGGAGACGTTAAAACAAGCAAATATCTGATTGAGTAAATGTTCATATAATACGTACCTTAATTCTAGGATACTGTTGACCACATGTACTTTACATAGGGTACATGTTTTGATAATTTTTGCTTGTTCCCCACCATATACTGTGACCCTGTGGTCTCTTCATAATGTAAGGTTTCTTTTGGTTCATTGGAACATGGGACAGGTTGTCTGTTGGTAACTTAGGTCTTAACATAATAATAAGAGAACCCTACAGAAACTTTCTGTGAAGTCTTCAAACTCACTTTCTCACAGATTATGCTCGCCTCATATAAATTTGAGTTCAGTTTATGCACAAATCTTGGTAGGACAAATTAGACCAGGTTTAACCAATAAAAAAATGTTAACAAAATTATGAGTAATCTACTTTCACTACTCTTCTGATTACAAAAGATCATACCACTGTGAATCTCTAATTGTGAGTTAAAAGAAAAATTGATACGATAAATATAAAAGTACAAAAAGCCAAAACTATACCATTATTTTTCGTATTAATTAGAAAAGATGTTGAAAGTTATGAATTGTTTTATTTTTTTATGCTTTTGTAGTAGTTGTTGTGAAACAAATTTTATCAGCATATCATTTCTCTTTTGTTTTTATTTACATAATAAATCTTAACCCCCCACCCCCCAAACAAAAAAAGGAAAAGCAACTCAAGTCTTAAATAATGCATAAACTTCCCCTGCAACACAATCCATAGGGGGGCCCTAAGGTTTTATCTTCATTTTGCATTTTGACTACACCTTCACCTCTTAATATCATCATTTAATCATCTAATAAATTCATGGTTTATCCAATGGTAATCTCAGTTTAGTTCCCTTAAATCAATGCTATTTGATGGTTCCTATGGGTACTGGATACGGCCAAATCTTTAGATACTGGTCACAGAATACTAGCAAGTAGCAACTTGCATCACAATAGAGGGTATTTTCTGCCCTGGTTCTTCTCAATTCAATAATACAGCCAAATGGTTGAAAATTGTGTATCAAGGTCACGTGGTTGAAAATGGGACCTTCACTAGATCCTACCTTAAAAATATGCTAGTTCTTGATATATTGGGCTCACGTGCCTTCTTCAATGGTTCTAACCAAGGCATTTGACTATTTCTCTCACGTGAATTTATGTTTTCTTGTTTCCTTTTACAGGGTATCTTTGATGGTGCTGAGAAGAGAAAACGTTGTCTTGATGTACAATGCCAATGTGTGTATAGAAAATATGATTTCTTTAATTGTAAATCTTCTTGTATGTGAACGGACTAGGGGCTTAGAGTGAACTGCAAAAGGCAAAGATGGTCTCCAAAGGATGCCACAATGTCAAAAATTGAGAATTGTATTTTGAAAAATCTCATGTAAAAATTCCACCATAAAAGGGGTGCAAGTTTGTAAGATGGATATATAGATTACGTATGTTATGCTAGCCAAATCTTGTGTACAACACACAAAGAAAACAAGCAATAGTCAAAGTTTACTTTTTTGTTAGTTCTTTTCACCTTCCCCACCCCAGCATCAATGTAATTCCAAAAGAAAAAATGTATTGTAAAAGAAACACAACAGAGTCATGATTTTAAATCGATATATGCAATATGCTTAGCCAATTCTTGCATTAGTTATACTTTCTCACCACTTTTCATTTCTTTCCTTTTATTTTGTGTGTTAAGTGGAAAATCAAATGCTTGATCAGCATCCTATGTTATTTGTAAACTTGAAAAGATATTATATACTTTTTCAAACTGAAGGTTGTAATTTTTTTAATATTTTAGAGATTAAAAGATATTTATATTTTTTAAATAAATTACTAACTCAATTATCTATTAATATAAAATTAATAGTAATAATTATTTTACATATAAAAAGATATAAAATACTCTATTGATTTAAAAATTAAAAAATCGTGAATGGCTTGTGCTGGGGAGATTGAGAATCCCTTTTTGGTTTTTATACATGTAGTTAGGTTTAGTTTATTGGATTCCAAAAAGAGTTTTGATACTCGACTTAAAAGTAATCGGATTTATTGCTTTTAAAATTAATTACACCTAATTATCCGAATTAAATTGTCAATCTTATAGTTCGGGTTGGTCCAGCACACCCAAATCATAACTTTGGCCAGAAAGTTTAGTCAATAAAGTTTTAAAAAATATTTTATAAGCTTTATCAAATTTATGTTACGTTAAATACAATTTTGGTTTGACTTAATTTTAGTTTTGATCCTTATATTTTAAGAGTTTGATTTTTTTTTTATCCTTGTAAGCTTACAAGTTTTAGTTTATCTAGTTATTTATTACTTTAGTTTTTATCTCTACAATTTTATTTTATTCAGGTGTCCCTATAATATATCAAACATGCCAGTGGTTCTAGTTTATAAGGTAAATGTCGTTATTAGTAGGGATTAAAATTAAAAATTTAAAGATTATAAACTAAAATTTGAAAGCATATGAATCAAAAATAAATTTGAAATAAATTATAGGAACAAATAATATATTTAAAATTTCATTTTAAATTTTAATAAGTTGAATATATAAGGAGCTTATCAAAAGCTAATAAATCTTTTTTAGAAGTGAGTTTAGACAGAATGTGAAACTGATCTGTTGGAGAGTTTGCTTATCTTAATTTTATGAAAAAGGGTACGAATGGTTCTTAATAAAAGAACCAATTTCTTATAAAAGTTGGGATCCAATGTATTTTTTTTCAGTTATTCTATTTGAGGTGGATGATGAGAGAGAGTAGAAAAAAAGAATATTTTAGATAAAGTTGGTCTTATGTTGTGAAATTTTGGGGTGTATGAACGGGTCACAAGGGATGCAAACTAGCAGGATCATTCCTAGAAAAGCTTTAAGCCACCACTGAGGCTCAATTTTTAAGTTTTTATAATATCTTCATATTCTGTATTCCTTCAAAACCATCTCTGATCCACCCATTGGGACGATCCAGTATTCCATAAAATCGCCCACCAATGTGTTGAACTTAAGAGGTGTCCATATTGCAGAATTTTTACATAAATAAAATAAATTAAATAGCATATTACGTATATGCTCTGAATTAAAAAGATTTACATAAATATCTTAAATGAATTATATAAAAGTTAATTTTAGTCGATTTTTGTTATAAAGTAGAATTCAATTTTAATCGATTTTTATTTACAATATCACTGTATTGCCAGCTGCGCTGTTTGTTTACATGTACATTATAAAAAGTCGATTCAATTGACTTTGCTATTACTTGCTATTATGCGTGTTACATTTAGATTCTGCAGTGCAGATTAAATAAGAGGTTCAGAATTCTATCAAAGCTATTAATTTAAGGAGAACGAGAGATTTCAAAAAAAGGTAAAAATAATTATTCTTATTAACAGTTAAATCTCAAAAATTCAAAGTATTTAATCTCATATTTGTATATTACGATTGTGATTAATTTTTATGTGGTTAGAATTCAAATTAGGATTCGATTGGTATTCTGATTTGATATTTAATTCAGATTAGATTAAATGATAATTTGATTTAATCTGTAATTTAGTTCAATTAGGTTATTCGATTGAATTAATATTTGAATTAGGTAATTGTTCAAATACAGATTAAAATCTTTAGATACTGTAATAATCAGAATTACATGCATTTAAGGTTTTATGGATTAATGATTCTTAATCTGTTTTAATTCATATTAATTTCGTTCATAGCATTAATTTAATTGATTTGAAGTTTTCAAACCCCCAAATTTTATTTGTATTATTAAAGAACCTAAAATTGAATTTAACCGAATATGTATAGACTGACATAAATCAATTTTTGTTATAACTTTAATTCAATTCTAATTAATTGGATGTCAAAATATTGAACCATATTATTTAGCTCATATTATAAATAATTATTGTTACTGAGCTTATTGTAATAACTTTATAGTTATTAGTGAATATGGTTTTATGGTTATTGTTATTGGACAGAGTCATAGTGGGTAAGCTTAACCGATCTTGTTATTAACTAGGGAAGCCTTTGCTCCTAACCACTTAAGAGTAAATATTGCCTTACTGAGACAGTGTAAGTAAAACATCTGAAAAGGGTGATAGGATAAATACAATTATTGCTATAAAGGCCAAAAATAAAGTAAAGTATGAAGAATAAGTTGATAACTTGTACGTAAAACATCTCAAAGGGTGATAGGAGAAATGTTCTCTCTGTTTTCTAGTTTCTCTCATTGATAAAGGAAGTACTTAGTCATGGATTCATCAATTTCTACTGTTCCATTTCGAGTAATTCTAATACTTAATCCTATTATAGCATTTGTGTATAATTTGTCATATTGAGAATTAGATTCCAATTTTTCCTTCAGTTCCTCCAGACCAAAGGAAGAAAAAGGCAATCACCAAAACATTTTCAAAGCATAGGGACGAAGGGCACCAAACAAATCTAACTGAGAATGAAATGAAACACACTTTAAGAAATTTAATAGAAATTGATAAGCATAATTTCTAAATTTCACAGGAAAATCACCTTAAAAAAGAAGAATCCTTTGTGAATAGCAGGAAGATTAATAATAAGCATGAATCCCTATGGAGAAAGCAAGGTGGAAAAGTAAAAACCTAGACAAAGTATCACAATAAGAAAGAATGGATAAAAGCGACAATAAAATAAAGATACCAAAAAAGATACCTTGATAAGACAAATGATGTTTCATTATTTGAAACAAATAATAAAGGTTAATGAGAGAGACTTGTGAACCAACACCAAGTGCAAGAGCATAGAATATTGAGTCATCAATCACTTCTAAGGAATTGTGGATATAACATAAAATGAGCAATACTTGAAAATAAACATCTAAAGAAGCAAGTTGTTTGTCGCCTCTAAGAAGTGTAACATTTCATGTAAAGCTCTTTGAGAATGAGAACCTTTATAAGTATGACCCTTCAATTTTGTGGCCATATCCATAATTTGACTGGGAATAGAAGCACCCAAAAGGCCTATGGTACCAAATTTAAAAACTTTAGAAGAATGTGAGCATCTTCAAGAGAAGAAATGAACTCGCCTCAAGTTACAACAAACATATGAAACATTCCATCACTGAAAATGAGAGTCAAATCATGTAAAAACTAGGCTTCATCAAAATCATTGCTTCAAAAGATATCATAACATAACCACAAGACATCACAATATTTACACACGAAGTAAATGCACTTAGGATTGATGCAGTAAAGGCACTAACATTCTCTGTTCAACATTTCTAGCAAGTGTCTCATACTTACCTATAAGTGAAAATTAGATTTTAAAAAAGGTTTTAAACGAAAGTCAAAATTGAGTTACTAAAAATATGAGCAAGTTAGAACATTTTTTCAAGTATCATTAAATGTAATAATAACACTAACATACTTTGCATGACAAAAGATAAAGGTTCAAAATATTACACTAGTATATGCATTCTTGCTTAATGTTGCTCCTATCATAACATTTAAAATTATAGCAAAAGAAAAAAGAATGACAGAACATGATACTAAAATCACCTTCAAAAAGTAGCTTACAAGGCAAGCATGAAAATGGTGAAAAAAAATAACAAAAGAAGAATAATAGAAAGAAAAAAAACTTATCAAGCATTAGAGAACAATAGCTAAGGAGATTTTGTGAAATCATTTCATAACAAAGGTAAATTTCTAATATCTTACAAAAATAATTTTTTTTCACTAAGAAGCTCCTTATAGCAAGCCAAATTGTCACAGGAGAACAATTATTTAGGTTGAAACCAATAATGAAGTAGTCATTTAAAAAGCAAAATGTATATGAACAAAGAAAAAAGAAGTAGAGTTGCATAAGTCAACAAACATTGAAGTTATAAAAAAAAAGCATGAAGATGCCGAGGGGAACCCTTGATGAAGTAGATGTGAGCGCAACAAAAAGGGATCCATAGTAGCAAAAGGGAGTATCGACCAAATCATAACAAAGACAAACTTAGGAATTTGACGTAGGCCCTTTTAATGGACCAACAGAAGAGAAGTCATTACCAAAGGAGGGGCAGAATCAAAATCACACTTTGGAAATAGTATGTTAAGCGCCCAATGCCCTAAAGCATTATTTCGTTCGGAGTAAGAAAAAGCAAGTTGGAGGCAAACTTGCTTTTTCTCATCCTCATCCCTTGGATACTCACATCTACTAGCTTGGATCCCAACTTGAAGATGACAAGCTAGACTCCTTTCATCAATGACATAATATAGATATGTAATAATTAAAGAGGTGTTGTGCTTAGCACATCGCCCAACAAATCAACCAATGCTTGATCATAAGAAACTGTTGACAAAAACCTATGTGCAAATGTTAAGTATTATTCGTGGGCAAGTGTACCCATCAAAAAGTAATAAAGAGTTCTAAAATAAGTTCCCAAAATATCAAATCACAAGGATTATTTTCAATTATCAAGAATTTTTTAATTTATTTGTTTGAACTTAAATAATATACAATTAAATAAAACAAAGATTTAAATATAAAATTAATTATCAAAAAATTAAAATAGCATAGCCTCTAACAATAAACTAATAAAGAAA